AATGGCTTGGAATCCTTGAAAACAACATCATTTCCAACTTTGGGGGGAAAATTGATGGGTGATGGTAATAACTGATTGTGTCAACTGGATTGGAATTTGATAAGAGCCAAAGTATCAGGCTGGGGGAGTATGTTTTTTTAATGTTTCCCATAATTACAATTTTATTAATAAATTCACATTAATTATATTTCAGAGGTGTTTTTCTCATCATTGGTGTTGGATTTATTTACATATTATTGCACTGCATTTTCTAATTATGAAAGTAATACATGATGATTACAGGAAATGTGTAAAGTCTGGAGGTTTGCAAATACATGCACATACATTACATGTGTGCACGTGCACACACACACACACACACACACACACACACGAAAACTCACCAGTAGTTACATCGCCCCGAAACAACCACTGTCACTAGTATGGTTTGGATCTTGGGTGTCACCCAAAATCCCACGTGCTGCAGGCTTGATCCCCAGCCCAGGGGACCAGTGGGAGGCAGTGGAGCCCTTAGGTGATGGGGCCTACTGGGAAGAAGTTATGCCACCAGGCTTGGCCCTGAGGGGACACTGGGACTGTGGCTCCTTCCTGTCTCTCTCTGCTTCCCAGACAACAAGTGGTTAGCAGCCTCTACTGCCCCCTACTCCTGCAGTGTGCTGCCTTGCCACTGGCCAAAAATAACAGGGCCAAGTGATCATGGCTGAAATCTTTGATTTCTATCAGGTATTTGCTATGCTTAGGGAAATCTTGTGAACACAGCTACTATTTTTGAAAGTACATATTCTTATAAAATACTGTAGACTTCGTGTATGTGTGTGTGTGTGTGTGTTTGTATGTGTGTGTGTGGTGCACATCTGTAATTTCAGCTCTCAGAAAGGCTGAGGCTTGATGATTGCAAGTTTGAGTCCAGCCTGGAAACTTAGTGTTTTAATGAGATTGTCCCAAAATAAGAGATAAAAAAGGGCTGGAGAGGTAGCTCAGTGTGAAGACCTTGGGTTCAATCCTCAGTAACACACACATACACACAAACACACACATACACAAATTGCATTACTACAGCAAAATGCTTTAGGCAAGTAACTTGTAAAGAGAAAAAGTTTATTTAGCTCACAGGCTTAGAGGCTCAAAGGCATGGTGCCTGCACTTGCTCAGTTCTGGTAAAGTGGCAACAGGTGGCTCCTCATGGTAGGAGCCTATGTAAGAGCAAACAAGGGATCATATCTTGACTTGTGTGTCTGGGGCACGGGGGGTCCTGATTTCCAATTTAAAGCATTTGTCTTCTTTCTATTGACATTCATCTCCATAGCAACCACACCCTCCTTGGCCACACCCTTGCATTTTTTTACTTTCTTCTTGACCACGTTTCGAATGTTG